TGCCACTCGGGCCGAGCGTTTCCGCACGGGGGCGCCTCCGTACACACCGATGAGGCCAAACCTTACGGAGCCTCGTCCGCGATTCACAGCAGGGATGGCGTTCTTTTCGTGGTCCGCTAAGTTTGTGTGGCAGCGAACGTTGATCTCTTCTGCTTTGCCCAAAAGTTCCAGTTGGGTCTCGTCTGTCCACGAGACATTCTCCCGGAAGCGTTGCTGCTTATCAACTGGCGGGCTGGCAAATTGCAGCCAATTGCACCCGACGGCGGCGCCCGCCTGTTCCCGGTCAGCCTCTTCCAAACGGGTGTTTGATGAGCATTCAACCTCAACCGTGCCAGTCGAATATGTGCCTGTCCTTCCGTTCTTTGAAATCTCTTCTCAACAGAAGTGTCCTCCTTGATCGGCTCCCGTCAAGTCCGCTTCGGCCCAATGAATAGACTGCGGTCGTCGTTCAAAACGCAACTCCCCTCGTTTAGCCCAAGGCAACGCATCCGGCTTCCCTCCCGCGAAATGTCCGCGCTCGACTCTTCCTCTGCGACGCCGACACGAAAGAGCTACGGGCGACACGGCGTTGGAGCGCTTTTCGAAGAGCGAATCTAAATTGCAGCGGCGACTAAATCACACGTTACCCAAAGGGCGCCGTGCCGTCAAACCTTTTTTTACTCGACTGTTTTCTTTTGCCCAGTCGGCGACCTTTCGTTTTGGTTTTCCATCCATCTGCTTTGGAGTCAATCTCCTGTGTACTTTTTTTTTTTTTTTTTTTTTTTTAAATGGGTCTTCATTGGCCCATTTCAGCAGGACAATGAAAGCGAAAGGCCCCCGTCCACAGCGGTGTAATAATGCCGCCCCGTCCAATGGGAATTGAATGGAGGATCGCATCCCCGAGAAGCCTATTCTCTGGCCCAACCGATGCGCCCCCCCCCCTGCACCCCCTCCACCTTATTCTTCAAACAACGCGCTGACTGACAGCTCCTTTTCACGGGGCTGCAACTGGCAAGGAAGGGCTTTAATTCCAAACCATTTTGGGCCATGGCATGATAATGACTCCGACACAAGCCCCGGGGCGGCCGAGGACCAAT